CAGACAAAACTGCTTTTTTTATTTTTTTTCCCCCCATAAAGGACAAAGTCTAGAAGGGCTAATTTATGTGACGCCTCCCAGCTCTGCCTCTCCACAGGCCGATGTTCAGAATATTGCTCGAATATTCCCCGGCCAGAACGCTCCCCAGAAGCCAGGCCAACCCTCCCGGTTTACGGTAAAGGGCGAGCTCCCGCAGCCGGGGGCATCCCACCCCCTCCCGAGGATTTCCCGAACCGGTAAAAGCTCCCCTCGAACAGGCGTTGAAAGCACAGAGCTCCGCACCGCGGCGCGGCCTGTTACGCGCCGCCGCCTGAAGCACCAGGGCGCCGGGCTTGCGGCCCACGGCTCTGGGGGGGTGCAAGGGAACGGGCCGAGGGCTGCCCCGGGGGCAGCGGGTACGGCGGGAGAGAAGCGCACGCAGGAAATCCTAACTTTTACATTTTTATTTATGTACATCTGTTGTAGCAGATTTACTCCCGAGCCATCAGCTTTTGCTTCTTCAGCTTCTTTTGGGATATCTGAAAAACAAAACACACAGATTGAGAAAAGTGGCTACAGCTGGCACCTCCCCGAAACATCTAAAGTTTAACAAAAAGAAAAAAAAAAAACAAGTTCTTTTCGAAAGAAGCACCGAGACCATTAAAAATTCCCTCCTCTGTCCTCAAAATGTTCCGCTAATCGCGCTCGCGTGGAACTCAGCATCCTTACAAGCGCTACGCCGCTCGCCTTAAATTTTTATTGTGAATTTTATTTACGCGCACGGAGGGGGAAGGCAGTAACTGCTCTGGCGGGGGGAGGACCTAAACCACCGGGCAGCGCTTGCCTACGCTCTCCACCTCGTGTTTACAGCAAATCCGCAGGTTGCTCAGAAAGAATTCATGGTTTTTTCATGGATATTCCAAAGGTGTCCTAAGATGGTCATCACAGCAACCCCGGCACGAGGCCAAGCGAGCGTCGCCACTCGGATTTCACGACAACGACATTAAAGAGGACTCGTAAGGGCGCGACGGTTGGTACCTTTTTCTTCTGAGCAACTTCTTCCTCCGGCTTGGGAACGATCTGCTCCTTCTCCGTGAGGATCATCTCGATGTGGCAGGGGGAGCTCATGTAGGGGTTGATCCTGCCGTGCGCTCGGTAGGTGCGCCTGCGCATTTTGGGAGCCTTGTTGACCTGGATGTGCTCGATGACCAGAGAATCCACGTCGAGACCCTGGAAGAAAAACTTGTGACTCGTTTTGCTCTACAAATAAATAATCTCCGCAGCAAAGAGATGAATAACCGCCCCTCCGCACACGTCCCTGCTGGGACATAAACAGCTCGGCGGCATCACGGACTGGAGTATTTTCTCAAGCACCAGATGAAGTCAGAAAAACACCAACCACCCCTCCACACGTCACAACAAACTGAAAAATTACGCCGATGGCTCAGAAAAAGAATTATTATTTCACAGATGTTCCAAAGGTGTCCTAAGATAGTCATCACCGCCATCGAAGCTACCAAACGGCACGCTGAGCATGTTCCAGAGCTACAAACTGACCAAGAGCCCACAGATTGGGTTTGGATTTGTTGATCTTAAGAGATCTAACCCACACAGCCAAGAACCATGCACAAAAGAGCTACCTGTGAAAAAGTATCACTCGCGTTCTAACTCAAAAACCACAGGCAGCCTAATTCACGGCATCACAGAATTGTTTAGGGTGGGAAAGTCTTTTAAGATCATCAAGCCCAACCGTTCCCCTAACCCTGCCATCCCACCCCCAAACCCTGGCCCTCAGCACCTCGGCTCCCCAGCTGTTAAATCCCCCCAGGGCTGGGGACTCGACCCCTTCCCTGGGCAGCCCCTCCCAGTGCCTGACAGCCCCAAGGGGAAGGAATTGTTCCCCATGCCCAACCTCACCCTGCCCTGGCACAACTTGAGGCCGCTGCCCCTCGTCCCATCGCCCCTTCCCTGGGAGCAGAGCCCAACCCCCCCGGCTCCCCCCTCCTCTCAGGCAGTTGTAGGCAGCCATGAGGGCTCCCCTCAGCCTCCTCTGCTCCAGGCTGAACCCCCCCAGCTCCCCCAGCCGCTCCCCAGCAGCCTGGGGCTCCAGACCCCTCCCCAGCTCCGCTGCCCTCCTCTGGACATGCTCCAGCATTCAAACAGATGGTAAACCAAACTCTGCTGTACAACCCACAAACCAGGGCTTACCCGGCCTTCTGCCTGCAGAGCTGCCGAGCCCAGGAGTGCTGACACACAGCACGACAGGGACGTTTTGTGTTTCGTAACATCTGCGCGACCTACCTTGAGCTCAGCGTTGCTCTCCGCGTTTTTGAGCATGTGCAGCAAGAACTCCGCGCTTTTCTTAGGCCAGCGACCCTGAGTCCAGCCCCACTGCTTGGCCTGGAAGGAGAAGAGTCACCTTTGTGTCCTGGTACAACACAACTTGCTCTTTACACACCATTAACTCGCTGTCACATCCCCTTTTATTAAGGTCACATAGCAAATGTCATTAAATTTGATGACTTGACACTGCAACTAGATGCAACGCTTGCTGTAGTGGAATTGAAGAGAACTCTTTTCTCCCTCTCAAGTTTATATTTAACGTCACCACAGACTATTCTCCACATCATCTTTCCTCTTGCCTTTTAAGCAGCCTCAGTCCTTCCCACTTTTTCGGCTCAGACCTCACCTGGGCGCATCTACCGACTCCCCCGTTGTAGCGACGGAAGGGAACGCATTGCTTCTTCAGGGTGACGTCCTTCAGGTACTTGGTGGCCTTGCGGATGTGCATGCCCTTGATGGCCTGGGCCGTCTCACGAGTGTTCTAGCAACACAAAGCACAGTAAAGGTCCTCTGAGCAGATCTTTCCAAGCAACAACAGGCGCAAAAACGTTCGTCTCCCTTTCGTGGATGATTTTTTTTTTTTTGCTACAAACTCAGTTTAAAACTAGCACTCACATGAAAAAAAATAAAGAATAATTAGCAATGTTTTTTCTTTTTTCCCCTGCTACCTACTTTCCTAACCCTTGGTATGACTTCCATTATAGAATTTGCAGCTCTGGCACGTTTTTGTTGGTTTTTACCTAAGTTCTTCCAACCAGCAAAATTAAAAATTACATATTTCTACTCTTCATAGCTCCTCTTTAGCCACTAACTCAAAAAAGTGGGAGACTGAAGGAGAAATTCCTCTTAAAATGTCAAATATGGCACCTCAGAGGATGCAATGAGAAAACAAGCTACAAAGGACGTAATTACCTCTGCAAGGAAATTGTGAAGGGGCGAGGGAAAAGAAGGGAACTGTGAAGGGGCGAGGGAAAAGAAGGGAACTGTGAAGGGGCGAGGCTCTGAATGAAAAAAAATGAAAAATTATCAGTGCTTAAGTGTTTGTCTCTGGCTTTCACGCTCAGCACGCTACAATCCTACCTGATCACAGTAAAAGAGCAAATCAAAACCTCTTTTCACCCACACTACGTCACACCAAGCAAAAAAGCACCTGCTCAGCTTCGGTTTCCCAGTCAACTTGAAGGAGTCCTGAATTCACTGTCGCACCTACACCTCTTCCAGAGACCTACACCCTCACGCCAAACCCTGCACGCCTCCCCTGCCGTACTTCTTGACCAGCAGCATGGTAAGAAGAACCCGATCTTCTTTGCAATCCATCGAAAAGGCAGGGTAAGACAAATACCACAAACCTCTCCCCTGATGCTAGCCCAATTCCTCCTGCTAAATTCACTGCCGCTGTTTTCCCACTGTGTTTTATTATCTGTGTTAGTCAGGAAGCTCTTTAGGACACACCATCTTATGTTTGAGGCCGTGGATGAAAACCACTACAAGCAGCTAAAGCCAACATAGGCCGTAACGTACATTATCGCCCTTAATAACTATATAACGATATAGGAAAGTAAAACACACTTTCTTCAAAAAAAAAAAAAACAAAAACAAAAAACACCACAACAAAAAACTCAAAAAAGCACCAAAAAACCCCCCATACAAATGAATTTGCGTTTCCTACTATGCACACACCACATACCTTGAAATGTACTCGCAGGTTGGATCCCCGGGACTTGCATGCTGCGGAGAAAAAAAGACAATTTTTGGAATTAGAATTAAAACCT